GGGTATTTATAGTTTTTCAAGGGGGGTAGTTTTAAAAAAAAAGCCAAAAATAGACTAAAAATGCAATTAAGTCGTTGGGCAACGACCATAATGTGAAATGGACCGTTGCCAACGGTTAGAACTTGAGCCCACATTTAAAAAAAAAATTTGTTACCATTAAATCGGTCTGGGCCGGGCCCGGATGAACAGTGTTGTTCGTTGACCGGATTTGATCGGTCCCGTTAACCGGTGGTCAAAATGTGAACGGACCAAACCCCCTACCCCTATAACCCAGTCCCACCTGGCCCCCTTTTACCTGTCCGGGCTGGTTCCGGTTTTAACCGATCTGGACCGGTCCAGCCCGATTTTAACCGATCTGGGCCGGTCTAGAAACGGGCTGACCCGGCCCGTTAGACACCCTTAGATACAATTCACTGGTTTTCTGCACCATTAATACTCCTTTCCATGCTGAACTGTCCAACTCTTTTACATTTTATTCCTTTTGCTACTTAAACAGTTCCTCATACATAGCCTCGCATTTTAAAATTCATCTGAATCTAATGATTCTATATACTAAGAAATTCATGGTTAAAATCTGCACAACAAGAGGGGTTCAACATCATACCAATAACTGTCATCATTTTGGACTTAAGCAGTAGATCTTCATTAGATGTTAACAAAGTATCTATCATCCATTAAATTGTTTGGCTTTGAAACTAAGTGACAAAGAAGAAGAATACATGTTTGAAGTGGTACTATCCATATCCATATCCATATCCATATCAGTACTTGTCAAAAATCAGAGGAATGGATGGAACATGTCTTATGGATTTTGTTTTCCATTGTTACTAATGATTTTTTTTTACAACGTTCCTAGTCTTTCAAGTTTCAAGTTTCAAGTTTCAACATCTTAAGGAAAACTATCCAACAGCATATAACCAAACATTTATATATATAGCCCCCCCGTATTTTGATTAGAAGAAGTTTTGACAAAAGTTCCAATGGCACCACTACATATTGCCACCTTTCAATTAAAATGGCGAGTCACTTTAATTAGCATGGGGGCTGCCACATGGGAGGGTTAGTCTTTATCCAAACATTTCTTTATTAAATAGTTAATTTTCCATTAATCAATTACCCACATAATTAAAAATTATTTCGAATTACTTAAAATATTACTTACTTTTAATACATTTTATATATGATACTATAATATATTTTACTATTATGGTTATGTGGTACCATACAAAATAAATACATACACTATTATTTCATTAAAACATCCATGTTAAAAAATGCACGTATTTTCTCAACTTCTATAAAAAATGCACGTATTTTCTCAACTTCTAATTTTTCTAATCTCATATAAAGAGTATAAATTCTCGTACACTTAATTTTTAAAATGGTAAAAAGATAACTTTCGTTTCTTGTGCAAAAAAATAATTTCTATCTTTAAAGAAAATCTCATAAGCTTTCTCGTATTGTTTGTATAATTTAAAACAAATTCGAAAGTAGTAATATTAATAACTATATAAAATCATATTTTTCAAACTTTTTTTATTTTTTTACAAAAATGTTCCACTCAAAATACCATATCAAATATATATATGACGGTATCAAGGTTGTTAAACTTATGGGGTGTAACAGTCTCGTACTGAGTAACAGTCATAGAACCCTGGTGGAGACACACAAACTGCCTTCGATAGTTCTCCCTCTGAGTGATAGGAAGAAACTTATCCAAAAATAGCTGAGAGAACTGATCCCAAGTCAAAGCTGGTGACCCAGCTGGTCTAGCCAAACAATAATCTCTCCACCAAGTCTTGGCGGATCCAGACAAACGAAAAGCAGCAAAGTCGACCCCATTGGTCTCCACTATCCCCGTGTTCCGTAGAACCTCATGACAGCTGTCCAAATAATCCTGAGGATCCTCAGAAGATGTACCACCAAAAGTAGTAATGAAGAGCTTGGTGAACCTGTCCAACCTCCACAAGGCATCAACAGACATAGCTGGCCCCTCACCGGTCTGTGCCACAACACTAGGCTGAACTACCCCAGCTAGCTGATCTACTGGAGTCTGAAACTGGAGAGCCACCTGCTCCGGAGTGCGAGTAGCAGGAGTCTAGGCTCCTCCTCCAGCCTGAGAGACGGCTGGTGCTACAGGAAGCAAGCCTGCTTGGGCGACACTCTCCATAAGTCCCACTAGACGGACCAGAGCATCCTGAAGTATCGGGGTGGCGATGAACCCCTCTGTGACCTGAGCTGGTCCTGCTGGAACTATCTTGGTGGAACCTCATCGTCAAACTCAACCTAAGGCTCTGCCGCTAGTGCTGCTGCTCGAGCTCTGGGCTGAGCTCTGCCTCTGCCTCGGACCCTAGCACGGCCTCGGCCTCTGCCCCTCGCAAGAGCTGCTACAGGAGGCTCGGGCTGCTGGTCAGCTGATGAAGCGGTACGTGTTCTCACCATCTACAAAAGAACAGAGTGGAAGTTCAATTAGCATTGAGAAATCAAGTAGCACGACAAGAAAGAATAGATGTGAAGTTTTTCCTAACTCTGTAGCCTATGGGGATAAATACAAACGTCTCCGTACCGATCCCTCAGACTCTAATAAGCTTGTCCGTAAATTGTGAGACCTAAGCAACCTAGAGCTCTGATACCAACTTGTCACGACCCGAATTTTCCACCCTCGGGAGTCGTGATGGTGCCTACTCATGAAAGCTAGGCAAGCCGAGTATTATGGATTCATTACCCTTTTTACTTAGCCTTTTTAACAGTTCAATATAACAGGTCATCAATAGCGGAAGAATTATAATAAACAGAAATGCGAAAGACGAAAACTAATAGTTTAACCATATACTAGTGCAGAATCCAACATACAACTCTACCCAGAATTTTGTGTCATAATGTCACGGACTATCTACGAATATTACAAACAGTGGTCTAAAAGATAAATACAAAGCTGTCTCTAAAATACATAAAAGAAACAGAATGGAAAGGTAGAAGGAGACGCCAAGGCATGCGGACGCCTGTAGGACTACCTCGGGTCTCCACTACTGGACTGAAGGCAACAACCTCACTGTGGTCCAAAAGCTGCAGCACCGGGATCTGCACACAGTGCAGAGTATAGTATCAGCACAACCAACCCCATGTACTGGTAAGTGTCTAGCCTAACCTCGGCGAAGTAGTGATGAGGCTGGGACAAGACTATCAAATAAACTTGTGCAGTTATATCATATACAACAAGTAATAATGATAGAAACTAGCAGTTAAAGATGGGAAGGGGAAACATGCTCGGGGAAATATCATGTACAAACTGAAATTCAGTAAAGAAACATACGGAATACCAA